AAAAGATCATGCCATATTAGAATGGCGCCCCCACTGGATCTAAAGGACATTGCTGCATCTGAAGATGTCATAAATTATCAATGATCTGAGTTACTGGAAGCCCCATTACGAAGACATTAAACCTCTTCTCTTTGCCCTCATATCATCCATCAGTTACAGTGAGCAGGAAGTCCTGTAGGTTTGTAGGACAATATCATAAATCATTCACTGCTCCTTTCATTTGGCTGCATTGTCATTCATTTTAGACTTATTGATTCCTTCTTCGCATGAGAACTAGTTTTAGGAGAAAATGCTCAGTGAGAGAAACTGTCCCAACACTCTGTGTCCAGCTCTGAATTCCAAAAATCAGATTTTTAAAGAAATATATGAATTCTGATGCCAAATTTGGCTCAAGAGTGAAGAGTGCAGGGTGTGCAATGATGGAAAGCAGCCTGCACTTTAGACTGAACCTGAAACCTCTTATTCTAGTCCATAAGTCTACTGTTCAACATCACATATATACCAGGAGGTACAATTGAATCACTGTTCGAATGTTCACATCACAGTGTAACATATTGTAAATATGATTATGTCTCCTCAGACCCTGCACATATGTACATATTCACATGTTCATCTTTTTTGGCTTGCTTTATACTTTGGCTCTTTTCATATATATTTTCTATCTTTTATTTTATTTTCATTTTAATTAATATGTCATATCTTTTCTCTGATCTAATCCAAGCGTTTGTTTACACTCTTAAAGAGATGGTTCTTCAAAGGTTCTTTTTTAAAGAAAATGGTTCTATATAGCACCATGAACACTCTGATAGAACCCTTTGCATAATTAAAGTTTTTTTTGCCTCACAAACCGGTTCTTCTGATTGATTGCGAATGAGCTGTAGATGGTTCTATATAGAACCTTTTTGGAAAGGGTTTTATATAGCACCAAAAAAGGGTTCTGCTAATGTTACGATGTCAAGCTTGAACCCTGTTTAAAAAGGTTCTTTAGGGAGCCATATACAACACATTCTGCATCAATCTGAAGAACCATTTCATTATGCAAAGAATCATTTAAGCATGCATGAACCATTGTCTTTACTAAAGAACTCTTGAAGAACCATGATTCCAGTTATAAAACACTAAGGTTTCTAGTTCACACATAAGAACACATCCCAGTCGACTGTACATATGAATACAAAGCACAGAAGTTCTGTTTTAGAATATAGTATAACAGTGTTAGGGGTGTTTAAGCATTTTAACGCTACATTTGCTCAGTGATGGTGACTCTCTTCTGGCCTGTGAACAACCCATTCTGGACTTTACCACATGGAGTGATCTGAATGTCTCAAAAAATTAAAAAAATGCTCTACAAAGGAGAGAGAGGGGAGGTGGCTTTTTAACCACTTTTATAGTGACCATTAAATGCATTTTTGGGTTATCCTTTATTATTTTAATTATGTAGATTTTTTCTTCAGTAGCATTGATGGAATATATTTAGATGCAATTATGTATGGTTTTGAAAACCAGAAGCAAACTAGATTTTTATCCTCATAGAGAGCAAGCAAGTCAATGTTTATAAAAGTGTTTTTTTGTTTTTATATATTTTATTTTTTTTCCACATATATTTATATATTTTTTGTGGCAGTTGTACATGATTTTTTGATGTCAAGAAACCTGCTTTATCTGTTTTATCTCAGCACAGCTGTCTATCTCTGGAGAGATGTGAGCTGTTTTCACTGTGGTGGATCATCAACCCTTCCTCTTTCACCACTCATTGCTCATTAGCAGCTCAACACAGAATCACAATGTTTCACACTATGTTAGTTGTGCCACCTATACTTTAAATACTCTTTCCCCACATTGTGGTGTTACAGTAGAAATAACCTCTGTACTTACTGTCATTACTGTCCTAATATGTACAGGATAGCAGATCATTTTATAGACTACTGTTTTGAGAGTATATATCCCTGTGTTTATGTCCTTTGTGATGGAACTGGCATGAGTTACATGTTGTTGTATGCAACACCTTTATATGGACCATAGAACGAATTTAATCTTAGGAAAAAATAACATAAACTAAACAAAGCCTTTACACAGGCATACATGAAAGCTGGCTTAATGACGGATCTAATGAACTGTAAATACATATTCTTGCTTTTTTTTCATGTTTAATATATGTAGTTACTACTGGAGATTATGGCCCATTCATTCCTGGCAGTTCTGTGCATGTTTGAAAGAGAGAATAAATGTTGGGGATGATTGATGATACTACTAAGTATCTCAGAGCTCTTCTCCCAGTGCAGTTTGAAAATATTGCTTTGGGAAAAGCTTTCTTCAAAAAACGCATATAGACTGCCATCTGGTGGCCACACTGTCACTGACAGAAAAACGTTGTGTCATGGTGAGGTTTTGAATTTGGGTAAACTGATCCTGTACTTTGTGAAGAAGGTATAAAAAAGTCAACAAAGCACTAATATGTTAATGCAAATTTCACACACAGTTTTAAGAGACTCTTTGCTTTCGTTACCTATTTCTCTATAAGACAGACTTGTAGACATAATAATGTTTGAAACTAAAAGCTCACACACCAAGTACAGTTTTCTCTTTCACTTCAGGTCACAGATGACACAATCCCATCATAAAAGTATAAAAGAGACAGTCAATAAACTTATAGTTGTATAGAAGCTCAATTAGCACAGGCATTTTATTGGATATAGTAGTCTGTAATTTTACGTAGACCTCTGTAGTTACAATTGTGTTGTTATTCAACTGGACACACACACACACACACACACACACAAACACATATATATATATATATATATATATATATATATATATATATATATACATTATAACATATAACATTAATTGTAAGCATTGCTTACAAACACTACAAGTCAATAGACACCCAAATCTTTTCTGTAAATACATCCCCAAAACTTATATCAACCCACATAAACTGCATACATATTTTTATTAAGATTACTTAGGCTTCTGTGTGGTACTCATACAAACCCATACAATTTTTTATTGTAAGCACAATAGTCCTTTTATTACTTTATTTAGAAAGAAATAGCCACTATTCACAATCAAATTCATGCTGTCAGCTGACACAGGTTGCACAGATGCGTACAAATTACACAGGACAGGCACAGATAATCCATACGGAGAAAATGTATGTTTTAAATGCTTCATGCCATTCGTGTTGTTTTCTTGGAGCTGTATTAGGTAACAACTCTTGTAAAGTCAGTAAATGTGATTATAAGACTTACAGTACTTCATTACAAGAAAATTACTATTACTGTACTGTAACATGTTACATCGTATCATATTACCTCCAACACTGGACACTAATCATGTAAGCTGATCAACTACGTCTGGGGTAAATGGAAAATTGTGTAAATAAAATTTTTTACTGAACCATTTCGTTAACTTTTCACTTGTGTCTTACACATTTTCTTTTCCCACAGCATTGTTTAAGATTAGGCCTGGTAAGTTCTGTATGTTTTAATTTTTATTTTTTTCTTAATATATGTATGGTTTGCACAGTCTACATTTTGTTGATAGTGTAATTCTACAGTTTCCTTTGTGATTAGTTGAGATGTCTAGATCTATCTATCTGTTACACCATTGAAAGGTGCCAACAGCAGATGACAGAAACAACAACACTGATGTTCATCACCTGAATGTACAATTAAATCCTTAAGGTGCAGGCTTATTGCTAGATTATTAACCTTAAGCTTTATTATTCTATAACTGTAGTAAAAATGGTATAATGATACATATATATATATATATATATATATATATATATATATATATATATATATATATATATATATATGTAGCTATGAGAAAGAGAAACTGAAGAATGGGCCCACATACAGGCCCTTGCTGTTAACTAGCATCTCAAAATACAACATGGACTGAAGAATCAAATATTTTTCATTCAGTGTTTTACACTGTTATGCCACTTAAAAGCTCTGTAAAGTCATAACACATATATTTCCAGTCAGTTTGGTTAGCCTGCTTTAAACAAGCTAAATAAACTTAATCTGAATTTTACTTTAAGATACTGATTACAAATTAAGTGACGTGTAATGGATTTATGTTACGACTTAAGCTCTGTAAGTCATAGAACACGAGAGCATTTCTAGTTCAACTATGCATTTAAGGATCTTCCACAAGGATTTCCCGAAACAGTCAAGTGAATTAGTTTCTGTAAATCATGTGCATACACTTTAACTTTGTAATAATGTTTACAAATAAAGTGAAGTGTGTGTCGTGGTTGTGGAGGGTTGAGGACGTTTGGGAATAACATTCAGAATAATGTCAGATATACTGTGTATTTGTCCAAGGACTGAATTTATGTTACAGCCTTTATGGCTCTGCAGTTCTTAAATCATCTGAGTGGCTCATTTACAGCTTTTTAGTGCAGGGGAAATACGACACTCATAAGCAATCATTTAAAATGGTTTAATTTTTCATCATGTTGATTTTATATTAGCAGCACTCGATCGCCTCACAGGCAAAGCTGAAATGATGCGTTTGAATCGGCCACCACACTGCACGAAGCACATTACTTTCCACGTCCACCTGCAAACAATAGCCAAAGCATGACCACTTTGGTCACTGAAAAAGACATTTCAAAGCTTTTTCAGTTATTGAGAGATAAATTTATATTTGGAATAACTTACAGCACAGCGCACTGTGTGACAGCGCATGGTAATGAAATGTGTTCATCAATTGCAGGAGGATACTTCACATTATTACACTTGCCATGATATCTTTATATTGAAAATATTCATACATTCATAACTGGAAGGGCTGTTTATATAGTGAGTCTTATACATATATCCACAGTTCAGTACTAGATTATTAGATAAATAGTAATTTTACATGTTATTTCATTTCTTTTAATAAATAGAATTTGGCTTTGATTCGGTGGATAACTTTCTTGACAATACCATGTGTTTTTGACACAAAACAAGATTAAGTCACCAATTGATCCAATAAAGTCTTTGGAAACAAATTCTAACATGAGGTCTCATGGTTGCCACCCAGCTTTTTAAAAGCAACAACTTCAGCTGCAGCAAAAAAGTACATGAAACACAACATAATGAAAATGGCACATAGTAAACACTGACAGCAGGGAGCACGGCCCAGTACGCTCATGCCAGCACGTTCAAAGCGTCTGTCAGGACCTTTAGGTCATCTTTCACTGATTCCAGACCTCCTCTGATCTTTAGCGGGTTGTCCAGTACTTCTATGCTGTTTGTGTATGGGTCGAACCTCACCGAAAATGGCCTCTTGATGCCCGCGGAATAGCCTCTGTCATCAAAGACAAACAAATGTATAAAACAGATCACATTATTTCCTTCAAAACACTTTGGCCACAATGTATGCAAAAGATATGCTTAAATCTTGGCATCCTCCCAACAAAAAACACTCAGTATAGTTCTTAGAGAGTCACTTCTGATTGTTCTGATGGCCCCATTCAATGTTGCATATTGCATTAATAAACTAAATGTAATCTAGATTATATAATCAGATTTTAAAAATTCAAGTTATACTTAATTAATCAAGCTGACACCTTTGAAAATGTGTATAATCACAATTCCTTTTTTAAGGATAATTATTTTAAAGCATGACGTTTGATTAGCAAACATCAATAAATTAGTCTATTATTTTTTCATTTTCTAAATGAGCCCATAAAATACACAATAACTGTGTCAATATAACAGATAACAATAATTATGCAGGGTTTTGAGAGAAAGAACAAAGGGGGATGGGACATTAAAGCTGATATGAAGATCTTCAAACTATGAGCAGATAAGATGAAGCGCTTGGCATTTGACTAATAGATGTACAGTAACAGCTTTGCTTTTAAGGAAGCACAGGGTAAACATATAACAGAAGGTCAAAAGTATCCTTTTAGCATCCTATTGTTTTTAAGTGATGACGCTGATTACATGTAGTTTGTAATTAGTTCAGAATTTCATTACTTCTCTGCAGATATAAAATGTCATTTCCACCTATTTTGGAGGTTCTCAATTTTTCTACTATTTATTTTTTCCTTCAACAAAGTTGTAGGAATATATTTCTTATAAAAGCTTACAACAGCAAATCGGATTTTCATCTTCGTAGCAAGTCATCGTTTGTGTTTTTATTGTGTTTAAATGCTCTTTTTTATTGCAGAACATGTATGTGATCATTTGATATGAAGAAAGCTGCAGTTGTGCTGTGCATTTTAGTTTAGCACAGCCATCTTTGTGGGTTCTCACCCTCCCCTTTCGCCCCTCATTACTTGCTAGAAGCTGAACATAGTCTAAATCTTTCAAAACATAGTTGAACAAGTCAAAACATATCACATACAAACTGTACAGCCTTAATCATTCCTTAACCTAACCACAACTATTATTATCAGTCATAGTCACACAGTGATTTTGCAATTTTGCTGTTACATTTAGTATATTAAGAATTAATAGACTCATTCATTGATGTTTCCTAATCAAACATGTAATACTTAAGATGTCAATCTTAAAAGCATAAATGTAATCTAATTACATGTATTTTCAAATATGTCTTACTCTGATTGATTTTTTGTAATCAGATTAGACTACATGTAATATGGATTGCACAATCAGATTACAAAAAAATAATCTTTTTTATAATTTAATTTAATTATTAACCAACAGTGAGCAAACAGTGTCCTAGTCAATCTAATCACAAAGTTATGGCCACTAGGGGGACTGGAGAAAAAGGCTTTGTAATGTATCCAACACTACATCTAGTAAAATCATTATTAAATCTACATTTAACCTAAACATTTATTATATAATAAAAAAAAAATGTAAACTTTAAAAGCCTCCATTTCTCTTCACCTCAGTTTCTCTTTAGCATCAGAGAAGCTCTCAGACACAAAGTAGATAGACTGGTACGTCTGGTCTTGGTATGGCTGCACAGCTACAATCTCTGGGTCAAAGTCACGGATCTCGGGCTCATCTGAAAGGGCATGCTGATGAGGACGAAAACCAGAGAAAGGTCAAGATACATATGTACTGAGATAGTAGACTGTGGCTATATTGACAAAAGACTATGTGATTTACAACGTCAGTTGTAAGTTTACTTGAAAAGAGTCACTGACCACTAGTTCACCATAGGAGGACAGAAGGCCGGCTCCATAGGCTTTCATTGTGTCTCCCTGCTTACACAGCCCAAATTCCACTGTGAACCAATATAGCTGAAAACACACACACAAACAATCAAACAAACAGCATATTTAGTAGCCTGGAAATACAGATATGTTCATGATGATTGATGTGACACAAAATGAATAAATAAAAGAAGAAAAAAACAGAAAAAAAAACAAAATGCTACTTACTGTTGACAATTTTTCAATGTCTTCCTCTGATGCACCAAGAGAGGCAAGACCAATGTTCTGGGAATAAAGACACATCAGACCCATATTTGACACAATACAAGTAAGCCATATTTCTATTTTTTCTGTAAAATAAGCTACAGTCAGACTGCTTACCTGAGAAAACTGAGCAAACGTTTTATCAGCTAGCATAGGGACATGGCCGAGGAGCTCATGTACACAGTCCCTGGGGAGAGAACACAACTCATTCTGAGGTTCGAGTGATAGAACTCCATTTTTCTAAATGAAGGGTTTCATTTCAACACCACTTTCATGAACTTTCTTTTTTTTTCATGATATACGTTATTTAGAGTGGGCTTTACACATACAAGAAATGTCAGCGTTATACTATGATTAATACCACCTTTATTAGAGAAATAAAATGTGTTTTCTGGCAGTGTGTGTTTTATATGTTCTTGTTACAAATGGACACACTGCATTTTGGAATGAAACTCTTCATTCAAATATTTCCAGTGACATACAGTCCAGGTTTGCAGAGATTTCATAGTTACATGTGAAGAGGGCAGCTTCTTACGGTTCTGGGGAGTGCATGGGGGAGGAGGCATGGCGGATGTACTGCGTACACTGAAACACACGGAATGCCAGACTGGCCAGAAAATCTCGTGCTGACAGAAGACCAGCCACCGGCCTCAGCTGGAACCCAGTACGTTCTGATAGGTAGAGAGAGAGAGAGAGACAGTGAGTGAATGAATGAATGAGAGAGAGAGAGAGAGAGAGGTGACATTAGACACCAGGGCAAAATTTCATGAAATACTGAGGTGCTGCTGAGTGTTGGTGCTACTGGGCTACCAGTGAATTCAGCGTGCAGTGCCCCACAAAAGTATTTGGCCATTTGTGTAAAATACATAAAACACCTACTTAAAATGTATGAATTTCATTGTGTTATGAAACAAAATATCAAACCAACTGCTATTTGTTTTAAACACACCATTCCAAGACCTTTCTAAAGACAGTTGGTGTGTTTCAGATTCAGAAGTCTGCTGTTTCTATGTACACTTCTGCAGGTTGGCTTCCAGAATGCCTTTGTACAATTCTGAGTTCATGATTTCATGAACACAATCTCACCGACACCACTGTGTGTGTTTATGTTTTTGCCATTTGTAAATACAAAACATATCTCTATTTATGTAGCTGTTGTTTCAACACCAAAACCTCATGAGTCCATTTTTTAATTTTTGATAACACCAGCTGTACTTTATGTAGTGTGATAAACAGACCAATAGAAATGGTCCAAAATTATGCAGAATAAAATCTCTTCCATCAAAAGTTCATAATCGTTTTCTTCTAATGTGAATATAGCATTATAAATGTACATGGTTTTATTACCAAAGTGATGTGATATTTATACAGTCTTATGTTTATTTAGTCACTTTCTTCACAGCTGTTTCTAGTCTGCCAGTTCTGAAAGAAACTACCAGTCAAAGTCTGGACATTCCTTCTCAAAGAAGGATTTTCCTCATTTTTACTATTAAATGCATACAAACTTTATTGAATTAAGCACTAAATCCAACAAACGTTAAAAAAACTATTTTAGACTCTTTTAGGAATTACACCCCCTTTGCTGTAATGGAGCTTGGCACACAAATGTCTTTCTCCAAAGTAGCTTCATGAGGAGCCACTGGAGACGCTTATATGCACACACACACACACACACACACACACACACATATATATATATATATATATGTGTGTGTGTGTTAATTGTTGCTGAAAACCATCTACTGTTTATTTATTTTTTTTATTTATTTAATTTTTGAAATAATTACATAAATTGGCATCAACATCCCTATTTGCATTTGTCTCAGAAACCAATCTGTTTTTGCATTCAAGCATACAGTCATATGCAAAGGTTTGGGCACCCTGGTCAAATGACATGTTTTGTTGATTTTCTAAGTGAAAACAAGTAAACACACCCTCTACAGAGAACACACTTCTGCACATTTTAATGCACAATTACTATTTATTTACTGAATTTAAAAAAAAAATAGGACATGTGTCCTGTGCAAAGGTTATGGCACATTTTATATTTTTTTATTTTTTTTCAATATGTCAACAAATAGAAATGCTTCACTAAAATTTTCAGAAAAAAAATCATATTTAAGCATAGTCTCTACAGAGGATTCGGTAGCTTATTTTCACTTAAAAATCAATAAAACGTGTAAATTTAAAAATGTATACACAGCTAAGTGTGTCCAGACCTTTGACTGGTTGTTTAAGTATCTCCAGCCTTGTTCCTGGAAAGCTATATTCCTGTAGAGTTTTGTACCTATAACAATATAGAATAACTTACTCTATTATTCAGAAGATCTAAATTAGCTGGAATTAAGGAATTATTTAAACCCATACCACCTTCTAAACCTGCAAAGGCTGTGATAATGAGTTCAGTGTTATTCAATTTTAAGGATTTGCCAGATTGGTCTGACTTCATCATGTTAATAATTAGGGAGCTTTATTGTAGCACAACACAGTAAGTCCTAGTCAGCAAACAACTGAGAATCTCTGAAGGAAGTTTGTGATACTGATCTGCTCACTACCTTTCAGAAATGTTGAGACGTCCTCTAGTTGGGGGATGTTGTTAGGGCTGTAGCCACAGTGTTTCTCCAGCAGCCTAAACGCCTCTAAATACTCACTGCACGCATGGGTGGAGTACAGATCCCTGAGGGTGCTGTAGACCTCTCTCCTGTCAATACACAAACACAGAGCAGAGAGAGTCACATTACATAAAACTAACAAAATCACTTGACTTTACACGTCTGTCACTTGTTGCCTTACCACAGGTGCGGTTCAGTCCTCGGTGTGATGTCAGTATCAAATCACAAATCTCATTACACACACAGACAACATGCTAACATAATGCACAGCCCAGCAGGTGACCTGATTTGTTCAGTGTAAACCAATTCCCTTAAAGTCAAGCGTCCTGTTCCGACAGTGATTGAGTTAACACGGCACGTTGCCATGGAGAACGATCATAAATCCACCAAAAGGCTAAAAGTTTAGTCTTAACAAATCAATTTATCTAGAAACGTAGTCTCAGGGAGGCACTATATGTGCATATTTAAAGGCACAGTCTGGCACCATTTTGCTCTTCTATGAACAGTAAAGCTCACATACCACGTTCCAATTTCCTCTTCTGTGTACTCCATTCTAGGGATCGACTGTCCACTGAAAAGAGACAAATCAAATTTTGTAAATCAATCACGTTTTGGCATGACAGGAACAAGGCAGGAGAAATATTGACAAGAGCTGGTGACGTCTTGGTAAATAAAAGCATCTTAAATGCAAGCAATATAGCTAATATGTCTCATTATGCTGTACAGACTGCTGTACGAATGTTGGAAGAATAATCTATCTTCAATCTATTTCTAGACATTTGTAATACTTATTGCACTGGCAGATTCTAATTCCGCACTAAAAATACTGCTTAACACCTTAAAATCTGAGGTTTATTACATCCTAAGGCATTTTATTCAGCAAGTGCCTGGACTACAGGGTGAACTGTCTGAGTTATTCAACATTTATAGACGTACTTTATAAAAATTGGCCTTTTAAGTGGTTCAAAAAAGTTGGATTATCTGCCGTGCACTAAGATCATTTCAAATAAGAGCGCTTTATTCAGGTTAAAAAGTTTAAAACCAGGTGGAATTCTCACAACAATCTCATATTGTGAAATATTAGATATATTTCCTGCATTTAAGTCGCTTTTACTTGCAAGGACGTCATTTTTTACATGCAGTGTACTGAGTGGCTTTCACCTACTGCTTGTATTTGAAGGCAATATCGCCGATCTGCTTTCGTCGTTTTATGTACACAGGATCGGTGAAGCCCTAAAACAGAGAAAATGACATCTATGCTTCTGTTTTGGTGAAAGAGCATAAAGTAATGAGATTAATCTTTTCGTCATCATACTGACAAGAGAGGTAAATATACTTACTGGATGGTCTTGGTCCAAATCTGGATCAAATTTGGTGACCAGATGATGGCATCTATCCAGTTCTACAATTTTCTTTGGAAACCAGTGGACTTCAGAGGATAAAAATGACAAAATGTGTATATATTATAATAAGAATTATTCTACTAAAATCCCAAATCATCCCAAAACAGGTTAAAATGGCTTTAAAGCACAGACTGTAAATGCCTACATTTAACCTCTTTAGTGGTTCTGACATCCTCTGCGATTCTCTTCAGGGAGCTGACGAGGGTACTAACATCCGACAGATGAACCTCACACCGTACAAAGTACTCCAAATCCTCTAAGCCGTCTTTAGGCTTCCGACTCGGTCTGGTCTCGAGGTGATGCATCTTGGCTTCAAATGTCTGTAAATGAAAAGAGAACGACTCCATTCTATTAACGCAAACACACTGACATGTCAGATATGCAGATTCAGCCCAGATCATGCAGCACTGAGCACATTTAAAACCGCTGACATTTCACAAACCTATGAATGTGCAGTATAGAGTATTATATCAGTACAACAACTGAACTTTGTACTTGTGCAATTGTATAATTGTATCATTCACTACCCACATTGATTTTTTCCTGAGAATCATAAGATTATTGTGCATTGTTTCAGTTTAATAAAAAACTAAATAAAAAAATACTAAAAAATATAGTGCTATAACAATCTATATTACAACTGTACAGCCATTCTGTGCATTAATGGTATTTTGTTAATATGATAAATACATTCTTTTTTATAATAATATGAATTAAGAATCTGACTGGGGTGAATCAGACTCACCTAATCAGGTGAAAAACGTTTTCACTGTAAAAGTACTGTAAAATTTAACGGTGACCCCCCGGGTTTTTTTGTTTTTGTTTTTGTTTTTGATAAAAGGTTAAATGTATGTAAATAAACTGTACTGTAACACTGCTATTGTTAATTTACAGAAATTTTTTAATAGAAAAATAGATCACCTTTGTTTCACAGACATTTGCGTTTATTTTGATGGTTGTAATTGTTTTTTATTATGGTAAATTACTGTATATCAGACTAACAAGTTATATGAGTAAAACTGGAATTACAGTTTTACAACGTAGCCTTTGTTATTTCTAGTTATCTAGAACACCCTCCTGCTTATATCACACCTCCAGTTCTGTGAATTAATCCCAAAACACTTTTCACAGTTAACTCCTGCATGTAGCGCCAAAAATGACCACTAATTTAAAAGTGACCAGTGTGATAAAAGTCTGTTCTAGAGGACGAATTTAGTAGACAGCTTGATCCATCAGAACAAACTCTTTACAAATAAAGATGCCAAAGGGGTTATTTGGATAAATGATGCCATAGAAGAACTCTCTCTCTCTCTCTGTCTCTCTGTCTCTCTCTTCCTACCTCGAACACTTTGAGAGTGCGGGACAGGGCAGGGCTCTTGGAGCTCCTCAGGGTGAAGAAGAGGTTGACCAGGGCTTTGCCGTCCTCCTCCTCAAACACGATGTGCTCGCTGGCCTCCGCTGCCTCCGCCGCCGCTGCCGCCGCCGCCGCTTCTCGTTCCTTCCGCGCGTCCTCGATCAGGCTCTGCCGCCTCCCCACGAACTTGGGGGACTGTACAGCAAAGCACAGGCACGTCGGTACAGCTAACGGCAGGGAGACGCTGTTTTGCCCCCATGCCTCTAACCTCCAGCCTCTCTTTTGTAGCAGAAGACACTGAAAGGTAAGCTGCTTAATCCCTGCTTACCTTGTGCACAGTGGATGGAAGCGATTTGCATCTCCAAAAGCGCATGAGAACTTCAGTGCAGTCTATGGAAACCTGCTGTACAGCTTAGACTTAGTGCTCCGCGCTGTCAGAGTGTCTACTGTAAGTTTAAGGCTGTTTTTCACTTAAGGTTGATGCAGTTTAAGCTTGCGCACTGCAAATGAACTTAAAGCGTGTGCACTGCGCAGGCACTGGAACTTAAAGCGCGTGAACCGGCACTGCAAGCTTCTGAACTGCCGGTTAAAGCTCATGCACTGTCACTTGAAAGTTTATGAACTCAAAGCTGGTGAACTCAAAGTTCATGCACAGTCACTTAAAGGTATGAACTGAACGTCTGTGCGTTGAACAGAGCTCTGCGTAATGTCGTCAGGAACGGCACGAGCGCATGCACAGTACGCTTCATATCAAAACAAAACATGTAGAGGATTTGTTTGCACCTCTTATACAAACTACATGAGGCAAACTATATACCTCCTAAGATGCAGTGAAGAGAGCAGATTGAGGGTCTCTTACCGTGATGGAGTCGGAGCGCTCGAGCTCGGACGCGGCTCTCCTCATGCTTTTGGTGGACGATGTGGAACTGGTTGAATTGGGCATAGCTCAGCTTTTGGTGCTTTCTTTTCGACCTCTCTGCTCCTCCCGCTGTGGAAGTGCTGGCTTTGTTGGGTGTGTTGGCTCTGCTGGGGTTTTTCTATCACTCGCCGTATTTATAGAGGCAATTTCTCTTTACTGACGTCAAACAGCCGCTCATTCTCGCCGTTCAACATTTTAGAGGCTCTCACACCCCTGCTCTTCTCTAATTTAATCCCATTAACATGGCTCTCTGCCATGGTCCAGCTACTGATGAGCGGAAAGTGGACACATGTGGAAGCAATAAGCGCCGTTTGATGAATCTTTATTTTACTTGGTTGATTGATAAAACATTAGTTAGTTAACCTTATGATGACAATCATTCTCCATCTAGACTATTCTCCATCTACAGATTGTTCCCCATCTATAGGTCGTTCTCCATCTGAATATTTTTCTCCATCTGGATTATTCTCCATCTATAGATTATTCTCCATCTACATCTTATTCACCATCTTGATTATTGTCCATCTACAGGTCATTTTCCATCCATAAATTATTCTTTATCTACAGATTATTTGCCATCTACAGATTATTCTCCATCTAGATCATTTCCCATCTAGATTATTCCCCATCTATAAATTATTCTCCATCTTGATCATTCTCCATCTACAGATTATTGCCCATCTATAGATTATTCTACATCTATAGACTATTATCCATCTACAGATTATTCTCCATCTAGATTATTCTCCATCTAAAGGTTATTTTCCCTCTACAGATTATTCTCCATCTAAAGATTATTTGGTGACACTTTCTATGAATGTCACGTTTGTAAGCATCTATAAACACATTTATAACATGTTATAATGCATTCATATGGCATTATAAACATGATTATAAACAATTATAAAAATGAATTACACTGGATTACACTTTATAGCCATGTTTATTATACATTATGAATTGTTAATATAAGGCATTATAAGTAGTGTCGATAACATATTATACTGTCAGTGCCAATGAAGTCAGTCCCAGCTTGGAGAGTGTAAAGTAAAGACAAATACCAAGCTAACAGTGTTGTACAATGACTTTCCCATGTTGGGTAAAACACTGATGGCAGCACTAGTTTAAAATCTGACATTTGAAGCCTGTAATGTGCTTTATTATGTATGTTTTAGTGTTTCAGTAAATTCTTCAGTAAATACTTCAACTTGAAGCCTCACTCTTAACACTGGAGGAGGCTTTAGTACTGTATGCTTCACTTTACTTAAAGCGGACAAATACAACTTATGAGCTCTTATAATTTGTTATGATCAGTACTTATAATGTATTATGTTAACAATTCATAATGCATAATAAGCATGGCTATGTAATGCATTTTTATAAATATTTATAGCCATGTTTATAATGCCTTATGAATGCATTATAACATGTTATGAATGTGTTTATAGATGCTTACAAAGGTGACATTCATAGAAAGTGTTACCGGTTATTCCCCATCTACAAATTATTCTCCATCTGAAGATTATTCTCCATCTACAGATTATTCTATATCTAAGGATTATTCCCCCATCTACAGATTATTCCCCATCTAGAGATTATTCTCCATTTACAGATTATTCTATATATAAGGATTATTCCCCATCTACAGATTATTCCCCATCTAGAGATTATTCTCCATTTACATATTATTGCCCATCTATAGATTATTCTCCATCTATCAACTATTATCCATCTACAGATTATTCTCCATCTAAAGGTTATTCTCCATCTAAAGATTATTCCCCATCTACAAATTATTCTCCACCTGAAGATTATTCTCCATCTACAGATTATTCTCTATCTAAGGATTATTCCCCATCTACATATTATTCCCCATCTATAGATTATTCTCCATCTAATGTAGATTATTCTCCATCTTGATTATTCTCCATCTACAGATTATTGCCCATCTGTAGATTATTTTCCATCTATAGACTATTATCCATCTACAGATTATTCTGTGTTGTGATCATTCTCCATCTACAGATTATTCTCCATCTAGATTATTCTACATCTAAAGGTTATTCTCCATCTACAGATTATTCTCCATATGGATTATTCTCCATCTAAAGATTATTTTCCATCTGAACATTATTCTCCATCTATAGATTATTCTCCATATGCATTATTCTCCATCTACAAATTATTCCCCATCTACAGATTATTCTCCATTTGAAGATTATTCTCCATCTATAGATTATTCTCCATCTACAAAGTATTCTCCATCTGGATTATTCTCCATCTACAGATTATTCTCCATCTATAGATTATTCTCCATCTACAGATTATTCTCCATCTACAGATTATTTTCTGATGATTCTCTCTTATTTTCCATCTACAGAATATTGTCCATTACCCCCATCTAGAAATGATTCTCCATCTATAGATTATGCTCCATCTACACACACAAAAAACTGAGGAATAAGATGAATGTGCAGTCAGTACTGTAAGGTGCTGTTCTGAAAGCACCTGTAACAGGTTACTGGGGATCAGAATTAGAAAAAATCTGTTTTCACAAAGTTTATAAAGTCAAATAGCTTTGATAAACTGGTCGGGATTCAGATGATAATTGCACAGTAATTGATTTAGCAGTTTTAAATGAGTTACAGCGTAGAGCACTGCTGACTTTACTGTGAAAGGCTGGGAGGAGACATTTTACTTGATGTTTAAAAATCCCCTTCTTGATCTCTTTCATTTTCAAATCAGATTTCTATATCGGATTTTTCCTCTGTTTGTATCTCATTTGTCAAATGAAGTCACACTTGAGACACTAGTTCATTTGCCAGCGTGCACATTATGCAAAAGCCGTTGTAAGACTAAAGGCTAAAGTCAGCTGGAGGAAATTGAGTCTCTTTATCAGTTCAAGCCAACAGTCCCGGCGCGCGTGCTCGCCAAATTTGATTGCGATTAAAACCTGCGACTTTTTTCTGTCCCCGTTTTTTGCCTCTGCGCCGAGAGGAGCTTCACCCCCAGCTGAGAACAGTCTGATGCGTTTAAACGCGATTAAAGTCTTGCTGCGCGGCCGCTAAACAGATTAAACCCACCGTCTCGGCGGCGGACGCTGCTGCACCTGCAGTCACAGCGCTGCTGAGCGCGGCACTGTATTCCCACCGCCTTCCGACAAACCCGCCTACATGTGCATCAGGATTGGCTAGTAAGTCGTGCAATTGTAAACTACTAGCCAATCATAGCAGCAAGATTTTTATTTTAGTGAATTTTAGAGACATTCAGGTCTGTAGTTTTTACTCTGGGTTATATACACCATATACACCACTTCATTAAGTACACCTCCTTGTATCTGTACTCTTTTTCCATTTTATCAGCTCCACTTATCATATAGATGCACTTTGTAGTTCTACAATTACAGACTGTAGTTTATCTGTTTCTCTGCATACTTTGTTAGCCACCTTTTACTCTGTTCTTTAATGTTCAGGACCTCCACTGTACCACCACAGAGCAGGTATTATTTGGGTGGTGGGTCATACTCAGCACTGCAGTGACACTGATGTGGTGGTGTTGTGTTAGTGTGTGTTGCACTGGTCCACTCACTGTCCACTCTATTAGATACACCTACCTTGTTAGTCCACCTTGTAGAGTCAGAGACAGTAGCTCATCTGTAGCTGCACAGTTTGTGTTGGTCATCCTCTAGTCCTTCATCAGTGGTCACAGGACGCTGTGGGCTGGATATTTTTGGTTGGTGGACGATTCTCAGTCCAGCAGTGACACTGAGGTGTTTAAAAACTCCAGCAGCACTTATGTGTCTGATCCACTTGCACCAGCACAACACACACTAACACACCACCACCATGTCGGTGTTACTGCAGTGCTGAGAATGACCACCACCCAAATAATACCTACTCTGTGGGGGTCCTGACCACTGAAGAAGAGGGTAAAGGGGTCTGACAAAGTCTACAGAGAAACAGATGGACTACAGTCTGTAACTGTAGAACTACAGAGTGCACCTATATAGTAAGTGGAGCTGATAAAATGGACAATGAGTGTAGAAACAAGGGGGTGATTTTAATGGAGTGGCCAGTTGGTGTATTGCAGAAACCTGTTTAATGCTGTTTAATTGTTGGGATTCTGCTAAATTCAGGTGTTCTAAGTAGGCTAACTGGGGACACTTTAGGAATTTTTAAAACTAAAATGGAAATATGGTGTCTTCTTTGTGAGCAAAAGGAAAACTGAAATTGCCTAGTTAAATGTATAAAAGTATTTTAATGGGAAATGAAAGTGGGTTTATCATTTCTGGGGCTGTGAAATCCAGTAGTGTGCAAAATTCATAGGCAACCAAGAAAAAAAAAACACTTTATATTTAATATATAACACTATAACATTAAAATAAAATTACAGGAAAATGTAACAGTCCTGTTTAATTTATTATTATTATTGTTGTTGTTATTATTGTTATTATTATTATTATTAGTATTAGTATTAATTTGTTTGTTTGTTTGTAATAAAGTACCTAACATGTTAGAAGAATTCGCTTAAAAGAACACGTGGTTGGTTCCTTACATCTAGATTCGATCCAGTTGTTGCATGAATTTTTTAAAGCACACCTGATGCACTGAAGGATTGTTTAGCTGAAGCAGATGTTGAACAGTAACTGTAAATACTGGGCTTTCAGCTTTGGAAATGGTTATGCTAACACACTCACAAACATAAAATCACAATGTATTGTTTCTTTGTTTATTTGTTATTGTTGTTTGTATTTGTTCTAATGTTAGCATTTTGAACACATTAACTCACTCTGCACAAGACTTTTGCACAGCACTGTCAGTCCCGTATTGTCTAACCAGCAGAGTATATTTTCAGGTTCAATATGATTTTCTGTTCTGGGGTCGAGGTTCGATGCTAAAAATGGCTTGATTCTACAAATCTCCAATTCTGTACTACACAGTTTGGTTTGGCTCAGAAAAATAAAATCTCTCAAAGAGAAAACTTTCAGTGCCTTTCATGCTCAGCATAAGCCACAAAAATCACAGCTCATAGCGTTTAGGCCTAAATATCAGTGAAAAAAGTTTAGCCGGGTATCAGCTAGGGGTTCATACAACTA